CAACCCTCCTTGACATCCTCAACCAATTCAACCCCCTCACCTCAAATTCCAACGTCACCTCCTAACCCACCCGACCCTCATCCCCTTCCAACTCACTCAATGACCACCCGAGCTAAAAACCACATTCACAAACCCATCACTAAAATGAACCTTCTTACTCAACTCTCAAAATCCAATGACCTTGAGCCAACCACCGTGTCTACTGCCCTTAAAGATCCAAAGTGGCGTAAAGCCATGTCTGATGAGTGTGATGCTTTAGTTAGAAACGGGACATGGGAACTTGTTCCACCAGATTCCACACAAAATGTAGTTGGATGTAAATGAGTGTTTAGAATTAAACGTAACTCTGATGGCTCTATTGACAGGTTCAAAGCACGTTTGGTCGCAAAAGGCTTTCACCAAAGACCAGGCGTTGATTATCTAGACACTTTCAGCCCTGTTGTCAAACCAACAACAGTTCGTGTTGTCCTCAGTCTTGCTGTATCTCGGGGTTGGTCCTTGCGTCAACTTGATGTCAACAATGCCTTTCTCCAAGGCCACCTCTCCGAGCATGTCCACATGCAACAACCCCCAGGTTTTGTTGATCAAGATCATCCATCTTATGTCTGCAAACTTCGGAAGGCCATCTATGGCCTCAAACAAGCACCAAGAGCATGGTATCATGAACTTCGCACTTTTCTTCTTTACTCTGGCTTCAAAAATTCCCATGCAGATACCTCTCTATTTGTTCTCAATATTGCTGGCCACCATATGTATATACTTGTCTATGTGGACGACTTAATCATCACTGGCGACAACACTAAGATGATTGACTCCTTTGTTGATGTTCTTGCTAATCGGTTTTCAATTAAGGATCTTGGCCAGCTGTCTTATTTTTTGGGTGTGAAGGAAGTTGAGGTTCCACCCCAAAACCAATTGGCTATGAGGGGAGTAGCCCAACTCCTTATAAACCCAGGCTAGGTCCCTTAACATTTCAATGTGGGACAAACACTCTCAACACGTCCCCGCACGTGTGGCGAACTTTCAAGCCTAACACGTGGACAACACATATTGGGTGACGTGGGAGTACGTGTGGCCGTTGGGCCCAACACGTGAAGCCTTGCTCTGATACCATGAAGGAAGTTGAGGTTCCACCCCAAAACCAATTGGCTATGAGGGGAGTAGCCCAACTCCTTATAAACCCAGGCTAGGTCCCTTAACATTTCAATGTGGGACAAACACTCTCAACAAACAAGATAGAATATATTGCCTCTTCTGGAGTTAATGACCATTTTCCAATGACTCTTCTTTCCTTGTAGACAAGCTTCTTTAGAGCAAAATTATATTTTCAGTACTTTTTTCAGAATTTCTTGGTCTTTGGGGATGAAAAATATCAAAAGCACATATGTTAAGAAGTCATCAAATAACATTAATTTTTCAAAATCTGAAACAAACAGTTGTTAAAACTGATGAAACAAACAGTTGTCAAAGTGATTTTTCAAGAATAGCTAGTGTAAAGGCATAACTACTTGGGTGGCACTTCTGACCACTTCACATGTTCGTGATGATTTTCTATCTACATTCTTGATTTAGCTCTGACTTGCTCTCATGCCACAATCATGATATTTCCTTGTATATATTGTAATGGTATATGCCCTCAGGTTATGCATTTATGTGAATGATGCTGGGTGATAGAGTTCAAGCTTGTATAGAAATATAAGTAAAATTCTGTAATTACAAATTACAATCTATTAAAATCATAAGTAAAATCCAAAGTGAATTAAAATCACAAGTAAAATCATATAATTGCAATCTATTAAAATCATAAGTAAAATTATATAATTACAAATCCGCTTGAAATCCATTACATTAAAATCATGTAATTACGATCTATTAAAATCTCAATTGAATAATGAAGTCCAATGGGTTGTGCTGACCAAAAACCCAATATGGACCATACTTGGCCAAGTCCGTTTTTGGCCCAACACACTTAATATTAAAAATTAGTGGTGTTTTTTTGGGAGGAAATTAGGGGATTTTTTTTTAATGAAGAAAAGTTTAAGGGGAGGGGAGGAGAGGAGGCTACCCCATCCCTCAACTTATATATTTTAATAATACACTAGGACTACTTATAAATTACGAACAATTGGCACTACATGTGGCAACATAATGCTCTATATTTCTCCTAATTCAACTTAGGTCGATAATAGCTTGGGTTGCCACATTTTTTTGTTTTTTTTAATCAGGAAAAATAGCTTAATTGATATTGGAAAAACCAAGTACAATCACCCAGAAAAATTGGAGACCTCATTAAAACTTTGCCTTAAAAACCCCCAAGGAGGCAAATCCGGTATAAAAAAAAGAGTACCACATTACGCAATAACAAAAGCAAAAACCTACTCTCCCCTCCTATCTGACTCAAGTACATCCAAAAACCAAACTGGTGCATGATTCTCCCATGTGAACCAAGTGTGCTCCTTAAGACCAAACTGAGCCAAAGAATGACCCGCCCGATCATTCCATCAAAAGCCGTACATCTTGAACAAGGTTACCAAATAGTGCCATTTAAGTAACTAATTGCCTCTTACGAATCTAACCCAATAATAAGATTGTGAAAACCTTTCGCATAAAATAGTAGCAAGTCCTCCTATAATGCCGTTAATTTAGTTTCCAAAATGCCGAAACTCACCTCTCCACCACAAGCAAAACCCCAAACAAAATCACCATGGATATACCTATTCGTTAAAGTAACTAATTGCTTGGGTTGCCACTTATCTGCGAAATTCTATAGTGAGTGTGCCATATATGGACTTCTCATGTGGGCCTTCATATTAGCCACATGATCATTTCATTAAACTTAATTGAAGTTACTATTCAAAAGAATCATGTGGCTAGGGTTATTTACTCAAATGATCCTCAAACTTATATCCGAGTTGCATTTTGGTCCCTCAATTAAATTATTCACTCAAATGGTTCATTAACTTTACATTATTCGGCAAATTGGTCTACCGTTACATTCTATCAATATTGTTGTTAAATATGAGGGCAAATTGGTCATTTAGTAAGTTAAAAATAAATGAATATTAAAAAATGAAATAAAAAGCTTTTAATATATATCTCTCTCTCTGCAGGATGGGTTGCGGTACGGAACAAATGATACATATACATACAGTTGGTTTTAGTGGGACAAACATGGTTAGTGAGTTAGATTTCTGTGCACTTTAAGTACAACACCACTTCCCTCCCCCTTTCCAAATGTTATATTCGAAAGTTCCACATAATTCCCACCTAGGGGCACTTTTCCCTTCCAGATTTCTTTGCGGTATGTGTACTTCTACAAGGAGGGGAAACAGAAGGGGAGATGGGTCTGTTGCTAGGGGAAAAAATGAGAGAGAGAGAGAGAGAAAGAGAGAGAGAGAGAAAGAGAGAGAGAGAGACAGAGCGAGAGAGAGAGAGAGCGAGAGAGAGAGAGAGAGGGAAAATAGAAGGGGGGAGGTGTCTCTGGAGGAATGGGGGAGAAGAAATCGGGGGGACGGGGGGCACTGGGTTTGGGTTTGAGGATTTTTTCTCCTCTTTTTCTTCAATTTTTTTATTTATTTTGTATTAATTTTAACCCAATTTTTATTTTTTAATTATGAAGAGTCATATTTACCCTAAAATTTGGTTTAATCTAACAAAAAATACGGTGGGACCAATTTGCAGAATAATAAAGAGATGATGGACCATTTCAGCGAATAATTTAGTTAAGGGACCAAAATGCAACTTGGGTATAAGTTTGAGGACTGTTTGAGTAAATAACCTTATTATCCCATGTGGCCAAAGATTAAAATATCAGCCATGTAGATAATATCGAGCCTCTAATTTACGGATGTTTCGAGGGATATGTTGTTATCGTTTTAGGTATCAGGAAAAAATCAACAAAAATGACAAATATAGGCATTGAAACATATAATTTTGGTGTAAAACGTTCATAGATGTTATGTACATTATCAATGAATATATTAAACAAATAAAACTCAAAATTTACTAATAATAAGATATACATATGATGAAATATAAGTGGTATGTAATATGCGTTAATGAAAAGTTTGAAAATGAAATGTTGATTAGAATGAATAAACCATGCATAAATCCATAGTTTATTTAAACACTGGATTACAATTTAGATAAATGTCCATCTACATAAATGAAGAGCTCCTATGAAGTTCAAACAATGAGGAACAACCATCTAGATTCATACAATAGTCATACTAAGTCATGTAACCCGAGCAGTTTGTGAAGCCATGTTTGTACATGGTGCACATATGTCTCTCTTGAGCTCCCTACTGTCCTCCCATATATGGAATAGTTAGGATTAACCCAACTAGTAGGTCCATAATCTGTTTCATCATCTTGAGCTCCATAACTAGTTCCACTATAATCAGACATGACATAACCATAGCCATCATAAGATTCATTTGAGTTAGTACTAGATCTAGTTCCTATGCTTATAGATCCAAAACTGATTGCCATGTCCTCTTTAGAGGGATTGATTGGTTGGCTTCTTCTCCTTGAGTATTGCTTCCCAATTGCGCCAATGCATGGTCCAGCTTCTCTGCATTCATAATCCTCATCTTGGGTGGCATGAGTAAAATCACCCTCGACAGTAAATGGGTTATATTGTCTTCCTTCTTCATTACTCCTAATCCATCATTATCTGACGAATTGGATGAACTTTCCTTTCTACTAGTACTGACATTGTCACTCAAGGGATGTTTTTGACCTTGCCGAGGTCCAAGCATATCCATTTCAAATGATGAAGTATCTCCACTCCTAACATCTT